CATTCGGCCTGACGACTCCATGATGGTCAGTGGCCGCTTGATAGGTTGGTCTGTATACACGACGACTGCATGTGCCAAAAAGTAGGGCTTCAATTTTTTAACAGCCATGAAGAGTGCAAGACCAAATTTCTCCACTAAGGGATACCTCAACTCGGCATTTTTCAGTACATGACTGAAAAAGTAGACCAGGAGCTGATAACCGTCTCTTTCTGCAAGGAGAACAGCGCTTAACGCATGATCAGAGACGGCCAGGTACATGTAGAGTACTTCTTTGGGCAAAGGGCTGACCAGCCTCGGCAAGGAATGCAAGTGAACTTTCAATTTCTGGAAGGCCGCCTCAGCATCCGGCCCCCATTCAAACCTTGCCTTTTTCTTAATTGCCTGGAAAAAGTATAGGCATTTGTCGCCTGATCGGCTTAGAAATCTTCCCAAGGCCGGCAGACAACCTGTTAACTTCTGAACCTCTCGGATGGTACGAGGCGACTGCATGCCGATGACCGCCTGCACCTTCTCAGGGTTCGCCTCTATTCCTCTCTGATTGATAAGGAATCCGAGAAATTTCCCAGACTCAACTCCAAAGACACATTTCTTGGGATTGAGCATGACATGGTGCCGCCTGAGTGTGGCGAAAGTTTCTCGGAGGTCCGACAGATGATCTTTATGAAGTTTAGATTTGACAATCATATCATCAATATATGCCTCGACATTTCTCCCAATCTGATCAAAGAACACAGTGTTTATCATTCGCTGGAAAGTGGCCGGGGCATTCTTAAGACCAAACGGCATGACCGTGTAACAGTATAACCCCTGATCAGTGACGAAGGCCGTCTTCTCCTGATCTTTCTTCCATAAAGGAATTTGATGGAAACCAGAGTAGGCGTCCATAAAGCTCATCAAAGCATGGCCGGCTGTTGAGTCGACCAGGTTATCAATTTTAGGCAGAGGGTAACTGTCTTTGGGGCACGCCTTGTTTAAGTCTGCGTAGTCTACACACATTCGCCAGGTGCCATTCGGCTTTTTAACAAGCACCACATTTGCAACCTAGTCTGGGAAGTAACATTGCCGAATGAACCCTGCATCAAGTAATTTTTTAACTTCGGCGGCTGCCGCCTGACTTCTTTCTTCGCCATGGTTCCGCTTCTTCTGCCGTACCAGCTTCTTTTTCGGATCCACGGCCAGTTTATGTACCGCCAGATCTGGACTAATGCCTGGCATTTCATGGACTTCGAATGCAAAGATGTCCTTGTATTCTTTCAATAGTTTGTGAAAGTCGTCACCCAGGTCCCTTAGAGAAGTCGTCCCAACCTTGATTGTTCTGTCAGGACGCGAGTCATCTAACATCAGGTCCGTATGCTCACCAGCTGGCTGAGGGCGGAATTCATCCGACTGCTCCTCTGCCAATGATTGCTATTTTCTGTCTTTTCTTGCGGCTCCTGTCTGGGATGCCTTTCTCTTCTTGCCGCCTGCTTCTTGAACAGGCGCACTCTCCTTGACATTGTCAAGGTCTATTTTTCCACCGCTCGACCCAGTGGCCATAACAGTGGGCTTGACATCCGAGAGATAGCACTCTCGGGCCATCCTCTTATCTCCCCTTAGGGACCCGACTGTTCCATTATCCCTCTCAAACTTGAGCAACATAAGAGATGGGATTATAACAACCTTGGAATTATTTAGGGTTGGTCGTCCCAGAATAATGTTGTAGGCCGAGAGTTCTTCTACTACCAGGAACCGGACTACCATGTGTCGTCCTTCCCCTTTTTCGCCCAGGCGGATGGGTAAATCCACTCGTCCCACTGGGTGGACGACTCCTCCTCCAAACCCTACTAAAGGATGGGATGCCGGATGTATGCAATCAGTCTGATATTTTAGTTTCGACAGACATTTGCTACTGATGAGATCTGAGCAGCTTCCGGTATCTATGAGGATTCGGCCAACTCTCTGGTTGGCCACTTTACATTCAATAACGATAGGGTCGTCATGCGGCCCTCTTACCCCTCCTAGATCTTCTTAAGTGATGACAATCTCAGGAAATGAATATTTGGAGGGCCGTTCTTGGTGAACGGAATTTACATCTAACCGCCTGATATTGTCTTTGTTGCCCCTAATAGTGGGGCCGCCTCCTGAGAAGCCGCCTGCAATGGTGTAGACGACTGCATCATCTGTATCGGAGCTGTCGGCCTGTTGATTCTTTTTGGTCGACTGCTTTTTTGAGGAAGTGTTCCCCGTAGATTTCTTGACATAAGTGTCAAGATCACCTTGCTCAGCCAGGCGGTCCAGATACCGCATGAGACTGATGCATTCATTGGTGTGATGACCAACATCTTCATGATAATCACAAAATTTTTCTTGGTTCCGATTGTTTGCAGAACCCTTCATGGGGACCGGCTTCTCAATTGAGATCCGTCCCTTGATTTCCTTTAGGATAAATTGGCTATCCTTGTTAAACACATACTTTGGGGAGTATGGTTTGAATTCTTTTTTCTTCTTCTGGGACGACTGTTTAGAGGAATCAGTTGCCCAGACCTCTTTTCTCTTCTCGTCTTTGTTTGACGACTGCTTCTGTCGTCCTTCTCTTTTGTCGGACCTTTTCCCGTCTGACTGTTTTACCGTACTACAAAGATCAGTCGCCTGTATATAGGCTTCCGCTTCAATCAAGGCCTCTTGAAGAGTTGCCACCCTCTTTCGGACCAAATCAAATTTGAAGGTCGACCCGTCTTTGAGACCTCTGAAAAAGTCAGTATAGGCTACTTCATCCGGTAACCCTTGAATCTGTATTCTCATCAGGTTAAACCGCCTGATGTAAGAACGAAGCCCCTCCTTCTCGCCCTGCTGAATTGTTCCTAAATCAAGGGTCGTCTTCTTCGCAGGGATGTTCATGGCGAAGTTGGAGGTGAATAAGTAAGCAAGCGTCTTGAAGTTATTTACACAACCAGTCGGCAGGTTTCCGAACCATTGTTGTGCGATTCCTTTGAGAGTCGCTGGGAAACACTTGCACCAAGTGGGATCATCCAACCCTTGAAGGTACATCAGGTTGGTGAATGCCATCAGATGGTCTTCTGGGTTAGTAGTGCCGTCATAGGCGCCTACTAATACATTTTTCACTTTGGCCGGCTGAGCGGCTTCAGTAATTTCCTTGGAGAAGGCCGACGGCTGTTCACCAAGTCTAAGCAACCGTAGCTGCCAGTCCATAGGTTGGACATTTTTTGCTGCATGTCCACCAAACGGAGGTGACTGTAAAAAATACTGTTGTTGCGGTACAAACGGTAAGTTTGGTACCGCCTGGTCGCTATGAAAGCCGGACTGACGGGAGGTGCCGCCTGACTGACTCTCATGATACGACTGAGTATGCCTCATCGAGATATTTCGCAGACTGTCTTGGAAGTTTGAAGTAGAGGTCGACTCTGACAATCGCTCACTCTTCTTCTGCTCTAGCAGTAGCCGATCGTCTGTGTATGTTTTCCTCGACCCGTCCGCCTGAATATGACGAACAGGTTTCCTGTTTCCTGGAGTAGGAAAACGGTATTTTGTGAAATCAAGGGCAGGTGGCTCCCACTTCCTAGATTTAGGATGAGGGGTCGCCTCTCGCCCTTGAACTGGCTTCCTCTTCCGTGAAGTGGAGGGTTTCTTATCCGACTGCTCCTTGTCCAGAGCAGGCGGCTTCTTGTTGATCAACTCTTGAATTTCTCCCTTGAAGTCCCTCATGAAGGTCATGAGTTCGTTCCTTGTGATGGGAGCAGACCCATCAGTCGGCTGCTGCCGAACAGGCGGTGCGCCCGCTGGCTCGCTTCCAGTTTGAAGATGTTCCCGTTCCCTCCTTTCGGTATGATGGGTACGTCGAGCCCTTAGGGTCCCGTCTGAAGCTGTGTGAGCTTCAACTTCAAATTCATTCTCAGTATCGTGGTCCGACTGAACTAGAGGGTCGTCCAGGGGACGTCTCTCTTCAGGAGCCGGTACAAACGTGGATGCCATCTCAGAAGTACTCTCCCCACAGACGGCGCCAAGATGTTTCGGGGTTTTCTGATGTCCTGCGGGAGAGTTACAATTCCGAGACTGGAACCGGACGCCTGTACCTGCAAAACAAACGGATGCTCCGGATGATTGGAGATCCGCCTCCGACGGTCAAGTTAGTACTTGATTAAGGAGTAATTAATGCAGAAATTAAAGTGATTGGGTCTCTCTAGGTGAGAGTGTTTAATGTGTGTAATCTGCGTTTTTTTGCGTCCCCCCCTTAATGAGGATTAAGGGAGGTATTTATAACCTCGGGAAACGTGTCAATCTAGGTTTAGGTTAACCTTGGGCTGATTGGGCTTCCCTCGGAAGTTGGGCCTAGGTGACCGGTTATCCCAGGTGTCATGGGAAGGACACGTGTCGTGTCGTAATTGGTCCATAGTGGACGGATCATTGCTTGACACGTGGCAGGCTCCTATTGGCCCATGTGACGGACACATGGCGGAACCTGATTGGTCCACTTGTCAGATGGTGATTGGTGGGGAAAAATCCCCTTATCAGGTATGGTTGTAAACGAAGTTGGAGATTCAATGAAAATAGAAGACAAATGGTAATCATTATTTTAATATATTATTATTATTATCAATCACGATAAACTAAGATTTATTATTTTAAAATAATTTATATTTAATTAATTTAAGATTTATTAGTAAATTATTTGTGTTTGGATATCGTGGTTAGGGGACAACGAATCCAATTAAAGATTGGGGATAATGTATTTCTTGATTATTCAAGACAAAAAGGCCTACTTGCTGATTCTATTAAGCCTTTTGGTATAGTTGTTACTTCAACAATGGTTAAATATTTTAATGGTAAGTATCATATATTAGTCATCATAATAACTTTTTTTTTAATTTTTACAACTAATAACCTAATTTACCATTGTCATGTTCATTTATTATATTTACTATTTTGTTTATAGGAAAAATTAATCTAAATACTTCTGCATCAACCAAAATTTATATTGATCTTCAAATTTCTGAGGTTAATGAATGGAAATCTTATGGAGGTATTATGATTCAATAAATTTAATTTTTAATCTATTCTTTCTTTTTTATATCTTATTAATAAAAAGAAATTTTTAATTAATTGCAATAGTTTATCAATGATAATAATAATAAATGTCTTTGTGTTAATGACTTTATTATCTCTTATATATGATCATTATAATGCAGTGAGAAGTTACATAATGCTACCATTGGAAAACTTGAGATTCAGCATATCAACGTTGGATCGGAAGAAATCAATTCTAAAAAAGTTGATATTTTAACGCTTATAAATCATGCACAAAAAACTTTAGAAAAGGTATTTTAATGCATCACTTAATTATATTTATACTTAATATATGATAAATCTTAAATTCAAACCTAATTTTATTTTTAAATTCATATAGGATTTGATCTTCTATTGCAAGGCTAAAGTGGATGCAATTATGAGTGAAAATAGTTGGTATTATATCTCATGCCCAGCATGTAAAAGACGTATCACTCTAAGGAAAACAGATTTTTGGTGCATTCCTTGTGAGAAACAAATTGAAAGGCCCATCCCAAGGTTTGTTTCAAATTTTTTCTTCATCCATATTATAATATTAGATTAAACTAATAATAAATTATATAATGTCTAATTACCTTCATGCATTAATTTTTTTCTCGATCAGATATCGTTTGGAGCTTAGTGTTTTCGGTCATAGTGGGTCAACAATATTTGTAGTTTTTGATGAAGAAAATAAGAAACTAATAGGACAAGATGCAAATACTCTTTTTGAGGCTCATACTTATGAAAATGTTTTAATATTTGACTTTTAACAATGGTTAAAAGATTAAATTGTTCTACAAATGCTTTTATCACTTATTTCAATCAAAATTTACAGATTAATGATCATAATGATGATGATAATGACAATGAAGATGACGATACACAAATTCCAAAGATGATTGGAAATATCATTGGAAGAGAGTTAGTGTTCAAAGTTAAAATCACCGTTTATAATCGTACAACAATTCGACAAACTTTTACGGTGATGAGAATTTTTGATAAAAGTGTCATTGAGGTACTAAATAATTGTTACAAGTATTTAATGTTTATTTAGAAGTCATGAATTTAAAATTTAAATTTGTTAAAACTTTACTTAAATAATTTTGATGCAGAATAAAGATGTCATAAAAGATAATGAAGATGCTTCAAAAGATGAAGTTACGGTCATTGAAGAACCCGCAAAACGCCCATTTAATAATATCGATTCAACGAAGAAGGATCATGATTTATCCGAGCAAAGCACATCAAAGAAGATAAAGGTATATATTTTTTAGAATATATATAATTCATTTAAATATTTCTTACTATTTCTAATTTATCTTATAGATTATTTAATAGTATACTAATAATAACACTTTAATTTATATACTTTGTGTATGATGCAGGTTTAGTTTTATGAATCAAGGATGCTTTCGAAACATAATAAACCTTCATGGTCAAGAAATAGAGATTTAGATGATGGGAACAAATAATACTTATGTTAGCTTTTTTTAATTTTTTAATTACGTAACAACTTTCGAGATTCTAGATGATAGTTTTTCTTTTATGTTTTATTAACTGCAAATTATATAATACTTTTGTTTACCTTTATTTTTGAATTGTTATATCAATTTTAATATTATTTAACACCCTTGGTTTACTAATTTTTAATGTTTTAAAAATATAAGTATAACACCCTTGGTATAATAATAGTAGAACTCAAAATTAATATAAAGTAAGAAGTAATAAACAAAGATGACTTTTTTTTTTTTTTTGGTGAAGACAAATGTGATAAATTATTCAATTGTAGATCACATAGTCGTCAATTCGTTATTGATGACACATATGGTTAAACTAAATAAGCTTTGACAAAACTATTAACTATAATTACATTAATTAGATTTCTCATACTTCCCAACTACAAAAAAGAAAAAATGGAAATTTTGTAGAAGTAACATTGATCAATAGGTAGCGTGTTTTATACCCATATAGAATTATTTAAATAAGATAAGCAATAAAGTCAAGATCATGAATGCCATTTATAAATAAAATTACCATTAATTATTTCGTTTAAAAGGAAAAGAAAGGGGAAAAAAAAGAAGAGATTTTTAGCAGTGGGGTGGTGGAATTATCAATATGACAATGCATAATTAAAAAAATAATAATAAAAAAAAAAAAACCTGACACTTAGTTTTAGGTTGTATTTGGATATACTTATTCGTATTATTTTATTTTCAAGGATGCCTTTGGAAATTAATAAATTTTTTACAACTCTAACACTTAGTTTTAGTTTGACTAAGTTAGTTGTGGGTTGATAAGTTAAGTTCAATTCATTTAAAGGCTATTCACTCCAAGGCTATAGGTTAACAGGACATGAAATTTTTTGAAGTTAATGTGTTATAATTTAATATAGCACAAAAGAAAATTTAAAAAAAATCAGTTTAGGGCCACTAAATTGTGTTCAGGACTAACTATAGCTTACATTTCATTATCATATTAAAACGTATGATTTTGTGCCGGAAAAAAATAAAAATTGTAATCCCATTAAATAAGATTAACTTATACAACATATTAACCAAGAGAGTTACTCCAAAAAAAATCATAAATTATAATACAAGATTAAAAAAATAATAATAATAACTCCAACAAGATATTTACAAATAATAATCATCTTATTTATATGAAAACAGATATTTATACTTTTAAATAAGCTAAGTTAATTATAAACATACCTATTTATATATATATATATATATTTTATCATAATCTTATTGAATATAAGATAAACTTATACAACATATTAAAGAACAATTTATATAAAATTATCATAACGTTGAACTTTAAAAATAAAAATAAAAAATATTTTTTTTTATCATAATCTTATTGAATATAAGATAAACTTATACAACATATTAAAGAACAGTTTATATAAAATTATCATAACGTTGAACTTTTAAAATAAAAATAAAAAATATTTATTTTTTAAAGATGGAAAACTATCATATTAACACTAGAGATTTACTCCAACATATCCTTATATAATACTCCGTATTTAGTTAACATGACATAGTAATATAGTCAGCATAATTGTTCCATGTCAACTTCTCAACTTTATTTGGTAGTTGTTACAAATATAATGGGGTTCTTATCCTTTGTCTCCACTTGCATACTAGCATTAAGTAAGTGTCTATAAACAAGGTCGTTCACCTCTTCCAAATAGTGTCCTTAATAATATAGTTAATGTAATAGCCGTAAGTCCGTATCTGTATATAAAAATCATTATATATGATAGTTATTATCACAAATATCTAAAATACTTAAACGTAGTATGAATATACAAAAAAAAAAAAAACAAAACTAAAAAAAAAATAATGATATGGATAACAATTAAAAATAGGATTAGATTACAAAAAATGATAAAATTTATGTAGAGAAGATTTGATTTATTGTATTTCCTTATAAATAAGCCTTAATTTAATTCACAGTACATGCACTGCCAATCAACCACACAATACGTAGAAAAATATTAATTGGTTTCTTTTCATAATCAGATACCCAAGCTTCATGGCTTCACAAAGTGAAATTTACAATACCCTCGGGAATGCAAACGTAAACAAAGATAAGGTTGGAGACGGAAAAAAATTAATCTTGTCACCATCATTCACCGAAGGCACAAGAAACAAGTACAAGAATTACAAAAAAACGATATACTCTACATACTACGTAATTAGGGCTGAAGAGCAACGCCATTCACAGGAGACCCAAGATACATATACCAGAACTATAGAAAAAGAATAGACTACTCTACATAGAGGTGTACAAGAGAGAATTCTATTTGAACCTTACAAATTGCTTTTCCTTTTTTTTTTTTTTTTTTTTTTTTTTTTTAATTTTTTATATCTTATTAATAAAAAGAAGTTTTTAATTAATTCCAATAGTTATTCAATGATAATAATAATAAATGTCTTTTTGTTTATGACTTTATTGTTTATGATTATTATTATTATGTAAAAGGATACAAATCTTAAATAATAATAATAAAATTAAATAAAATAAAGCCGTGCATCGCACGGGCTTCACACCTAGTACATTATTATAGGAATAGATTATCAATATTTTTAAGAGCGACTTGCATTTTGCTATCACATTTTGTACGTAATGATAGTGTATCATATTAAATATAGGATAAGAGTAAATCTTAATTTTGTACGTGATGATAATATATCTATCTATGTATATGCATTCATAGGAAAAAAAAAAAAAAAAAAGGGACCCAATTTAAAATTTTCGCCCCGTGTCTATGAAAGTCATGGTCGAGCCTTGAGTATCGATGAATGATTGATTATAAGTTTTACTTAACTTAGGAGTTTGGAGTGAAGCGAACAAATTGGTATATACTTCCTCACAACATACAATCACTAACGTGTGTGTATATTAATTGAAAGTGGGATTTAAAACAAGTGTTTGGATAAATTAAAAGGGCTTTCTTTGTAATTTCTTTTGCTTTCTAAAAGCACATGGTGATAGAGGTGTTGACGCACAACCTTAAAGTTTGGGACTTGTTAAACATCGCCCGCGTTTTTCTACATAAAGCCCACAATTTATAAAATTTTGACAACTTTGCCCTTGTTCTAATTTTAACCTAAAACGAAATTTTGTCTCACCCAAAATGTGGAACAGCGCCGGATCGCCGAGGGACACCAAAGAGCCGCCGTCGTCGCCGGAAAACGAGGTCTGAAGTGGTTAAAAATCAAGTTTTGGCGGCGAACGTCTGGCCGGGACGCCGCCACCGTGGAGGTGGCGCCTGGACAGGACGCCGCCACCGTGGCTGAGGCGCCTGGCCAGGACGCCACCACCGTGGCTGGGGCGCCTGGCCAGGACGCCGCCACCATGGTAGTGGCGTCCTGGCCAGGCGCTCCAGCCACGGTGGTGGCGTCCTGGCCAGGCGCCACCTCCTCGGTATATTTTTTTTTAAATCTTTTTTTTCGTTTTGGTTTTTTTTTTTTTTATTTTGTTTGAATTTTGATAAATTTGAATTTTTTTTTAAAAAAACAAAAAAAAATATTAATTTATTTTGAAATTATGCTTTAGTAAATTCAAAAAATAAACAAAATTAGAAAGAAAAAACCAAAATAATAAAAAAATTTAGGAAACAAAAACATAATAAAGAAAAAAATTGCAAAGAAAATCCAAAAAACAAAATACATTTTAAAAAAAAAAATAGGAAAAAACACAAAAAATTACCTATTTTAATAATACAAAGCGAGATTTCAGTCAAGCGATTCGGTTTGATACAAAGCGGAAAGGTTGTGGGTGTCAGTTCAGAGTAAAGGTTCGACAACAGCAAAGGGGTGACGGTTGGGAAGTGAAGAGTTACGGTAAATGGGGGTATCACAACCATGAGATGATCGCATATGAAGTGGGTCATCGACAGTTAAGTGGCCTAAGTCCTGGTGCGAAACTAATTGTAAAAGAAATGAGTGATGCTCAAGTGAAGCCTGCTAAAATATTAGCATCTGTGTTGGAGAAATTTCCTGAAGACCAGCCAAACCGAAGACACATCTACAACGTCAGACAGAAATTGAGGTTTGAACGGTCAGAGGGAAGGAACCCTATACAGCAGCTTCTACACCAGGCACAAGCACGTGGTTACCTGTACTGGTTTGAATCTGATGAAGACACATCGGAGGTGACTCATTTGTTCCTTGTGCATCCTGATTGTGCTGATATGATTTCGTCTTGGCCATCTGTGATTCTGATCGATTCAACGTACAAGACAAACAAGTATAAGTTTCCACTGGTTGAGATGGTTGGGATGACTCCAACGAACCAGAACTTTTTGATTGGTTATGCAGTTATGAAGGATGAGACGGTTGCGAGTTACCGTTGGGTGTTGGAGAAGTTGAGAAATTACATCGGCCCAAGTGTTCAGCCATCGGCCATCGTCAGCGATTGTGAGGGAGGTCTCTTTGCCCCTATAGCGGAGCTGTTTCCGGAGTCGAGCCATTTACTGTGCACATGGCACATCAACAACTGCGTGAAAGTCAAAGCCTACAACCTTTTCAACAAGAACTTAGATTCAGCAGAGAGATTGGTAAATGGTAAGTGGCGGAAGATCCTGCAAGCTACCACGGAGGCAGAGTACGACCGAGCCTTGGATAACTTCAAGGATGCATACCAATGGTGCCCGGCAATCGTAGACTATGTGATGCAGCAGTGGGTGCCTCAGAGGGAAAAGTTTGTCAAATATTGGACAAACCAAGTTCTTCATTTTGGAAACACTACTACATGTAGAGTTGAGAGCGCTCATAGAGCTCTGAAGGACTGGATTGATTCTTCCACCTCTGCTCTGGATACACTGTTCGAGAGAATAAACAAGGCTATTGATACTCAGAGGAACGGCATCAAGAAC